TGGAGGTGCACATATATATACATGATAAATATAAGACAACAGTTCTCACCAACTCATATTGGAAGTTTTCAGGCATGCAGTCACTTCACTTTCATTAGGTAGAGGTAAACTTAAGGTCCAATATATCTAAGTTTCTCAGTGCTTTATCCCATACAGAATACAGAATGGTTGAGATTTGAAGGGGGCCTCTGGAGATGCTCTAGTCTGAATCCCTGCTCAGAGCAGGCCCAAGGCCATGGGCATGTCACACTGGGGTTTGAATGTCTCCAAGAATGAAGAGTTCATTATGCTATTTTTATTTTGTGTGTATCTGTGCGTTTGATAATACAAAATCAGAACTTAGTTCATGCCCATTAAGCCCTGTATGACCCATCAGTTGACCCACTCACTTTTCATTCCATGAGCTTTTTTTTTTCACTTCAAGAATTGGACTCTGAAGTTAACTGTGTTTTGATTAACCATCTTTACAACTTCTCTACAGCTAGATGTTTCCAATTTCTTTTCCCATTAATTATTTTACATTCTATACCAAAAAAGCCCTCTTTCTTCTGTACTACATTTGTTCTGATACAATTTGCATACGAAGAGAGTATTTGTATACAAGAACAGTATAGAAAAATAACAATATAGAAATAACAATATAGAAAAATAAATATGATAATAAATAATATATAAACAAATAAATAAATAAAAAAAATGTGGTGTAAGCTCCCACAGAGATGATGTACACACTCAGGCACTATTAACGACAGTCTTGTTCTGAGCATTTCTATATTTTTGCTGCAGTCTGTAAGCTGTTAAGTGGAGTGGAAAGCTCCTGGTGAGCGCTCTCTGTTTTTTGAATGAGAGTTACAATGTTATATTGGTCCTGGCTGTCAGCTGTTTGGTGCCATTTACTTCATTTTGTTAGACTTCTGTCATTTAAAAAAGTTGTTTCCATCTTCCATGTGTAGCTGTAACTATAGAAACCATGAAGTGATTAAGAGGAATACAGTTAATGCTTCTGTGGCTCATCAAGACAGACAAATGCTCAAATACTTAGACAAAACTTGTTGATTTTAAGGTTAGAAGAATACACAAAAATGATTTATGAGATGATTTCTAGTGTAGCTTAATGGTCTGTGAAAAATGGAGATTGATGTGACAAAAAAAATGTACAATTCATGGCTACTACATTATCCAAAATATATTAAGAAATTGAAGGAAATTCAGGCAAGAGAAATGAAGCTGAAAACAAAACTATCTATGAGGAAAGAGATCAAAGCAAAGCTTTCTGAAGTTGTCATTGTCGCAGGGGCCTAGAAATTTCCCACTGCCGACAAAATAAAAACACGGAGAGTGAAACTGGAAAATGTGGACGAGTGAGGTAAGAATGAGCGTAACAATATGGAAAATAGATTTTAAGTGGTCTAAGCTGAAATACAGGGCCTGTGAATTAATTACACCATTGGAATGTTTGGGATTGCTGAGTTTCAGAAAGAGTAGTCTAAGCGTCATCATGATGACCTGTGGATAGATAAAGCCTGTACTTTCTGATGCTGCACAAATTTTCTCAAGGATTTGCTTGTCTTCCGAAAAAGAAATCTTCAAGCCTAGACAAATCAGCCCAAATAATTAATACTTTCTGAGTCTCTTCTATTTTTAACAAGCCAGGATAAAGTCTTTCTGAGTTTTAACCCCTTGGTATGATAGCTTCCTGTCTCCGTCAGAATTGTAAGTTTGTAAATTTTGATCATTTTAGTTAGAAGTAGACCTAAACACAGAGCTGCAAGGGCATTCAGGTGCAAGGTTTCACAGGTTGTCCAACCTGTAGTCCTGCTGTAGAAGGTAGAAGGTCACCACTGGAACTGTGACAGTACAATTTTTGTAGTATATTTTTGGTGGTGTGTACTAATTAATTTATTTTTTGTTAGATTTAGGAAAAATCTCAAAACCTTGCAGGGGGAGAATATTTCAGATTACTCTGTAAGTGTGCTGGTATGAATCTTTAGACAAAGCCCATGCCTTCTCTACTGGTGATTTTGGTTTCTTCCTTGAACTCCAGAGATACTCTCAGAGAAGTATATTGCAATAGTGACTGGAACTTGGCAGTGTGCTGGTTTAGATTTATTATTTCATATGATAACTGAATGTATCACTTCCAGGATTACTGTAGAGAATGCTTAATTTTTGTGGAAGTTGTTGGGAGCTTTCTGAAAGATTGGCAGCTCTACCTGAGGGATTTTGGCAGCAGGGCATGTGAAGAAAGTGAGTTGTTTTTTGATTTATTTTTATCTTAAAATAACTAGTAACGCTGTTGCTAGCAGCATTGTCCACAAAACTGGCATAAAGCACCCTTTTGATGTTAACTGCTTGCATGCTGGCTCTGCTGCATCTTTTCTGCATCTTCCTGTTGGCAGTTTGTTAGTTGTTAGTTTAGAAACTTAGGCCATGGCAGGCAGGTGGGATGTACTGACTTATCTCTAATGGCACTAGCCTGTCATTAGGCACAGGTTTTCATTTTATTTTGTTGTATCTGCTTGAAAGTAAGTGGATTCTGTTTGAATGGAAACTTATATACCTGCCATGCCTGTAGTCACTTCTGTGTAGACACAAAAATGTGTCGTACTGTCATCCTTACTTGTACATGTAGGATCTGATTTGAAAAGTTAACATTTTGGTTAACTATGAAAGGCAAGCAGGAAAAGGGCATGAAGCATGCTCTCTAGGGCAAGTGGAAAATTCTGATAAAGCGGGGTTTTAGACATCCCTCCTGGATGCTCTCACTCAAACATGTAAATGGCACTGCAGACTTGAGGGTGACATGTAGTTCTGTGAGCAGTAGGGCCACTTTCCCCATGAACAAGTCTTGTGGTTGAATTGCTACATAGATTCTAGGATGCCAAGAAAAGATTGCACTAATGAAATACTCATAGGGCTTTTGCAGAACTGCCTATTTCACTAAACTTCTTAGAATATAAACCCTAAAAATCATCCGTGGCTGTGCAAAGTTTTATTACATTTTGTCCAGTGGGTTAAAACGTCATTGTGTGGGGAGAAAAGAGGGAAGAAACCAATCAGCTGTCAGCATAAACCTCATTTTCTTGCCAAACTGGGATAAAAATATCAAGCTGAAAACCTAAGTTATGAGGAAAATCTGCACTGCACAGATATGAAAGAGCAGGGAGTGCTAAAATGGCTTCAGTATCACAGTCCTGAAATGGCTGAGTCCCATACATCTGATGAGCATCAGTGTGGGCAAAGGGGTCCTCTCCCTCCATGGAAAGGATAATGGTAGAGAACTGTACTGTCCTTCTGAACCTTTTAGCCTGGAGGAGAAGCTTAAGAAAAAGGAGAACCTAAGTCTCCTAGGCTACTTCTTTACTAGCAAATTAAACCTGATCCGGGACTATTCCTAGGTGTTAAGCCTATCTGTGCTGGTAAATTGACAGAAGGCTGCTTGGCACGCTCTTGGTCTTCTGCTCGCTAGCATCACTTTTCCTGGTGGTTTGGGAGCTGGAGTACTCCAAGACTTATCTCCAGAAGGCAATTTGAATGCAACCAGCTTTCTTTGAAGGAGAGCAGAAATTCTAGCATAGATGCAGGTTATGTCATGTTGTTTGGCTTCAGTGCTCAAAAACATGCCTGGGCAAGTTTAATACACTAGTACTGGTGTCATTGCAAGATGTAGTTTAAAAGGAAAGCATTCTCTTTGCATAGGGAAAACATCCTCTTTCCTCTGTTTGCCTCTGTTCCTGGCCACACAATTTCACTACTCATTGTATCCCTCCATGAGAAAAACACAGATAAATTTCTGCTGTGTTTTCAAATGCAAGTGGCTCCTGAGAGTACCTGACAGTCAAGAAAGAAGATCCAAGGGAGTAGGGGGAAGCTGGGAACAAAGGGAGATGACAAACCCTGACAGGGAAAAAGAAGAGCAGGAAAGGAGGGAGGCAGGGAGAAGACCTTAGCTTTTGGTGACCAGGAGCCATTAGATGAACTCAGCTGTGTATATAATTTTGAAAAATACATTTAATGGAAACTTATATTCACAAGCACATTGTCATTAGACAAGTAAAGTTGGTTTTTATTTTGGACTGATGTAAGAATTCAAGTAGATTTTCATCTTCATTTATTTATATTTTAATGGAGTGAAGCCATCCTGTCACTTTAGCTAGGGTTTTATTACCAAATTCATTTTGATATAGCAAAAGAGATAAATGCAGTGCTGTATACTAATTTCATGGTTTGCTGCGTGTTTTTATTATCACAGAAACATTAAGTGATGCGTAGTCCAACTTAATTCTGTGAATGAATAGTTTTGTAGGAGTAAATTGATAACATTTCTTCCCTCTGGCTTTCAAGGCATGACTTGCTGGGTGGTGCAGAGCCCTGCTGAAGTTAATGATGCCTCAGGCAGCGAAGAGGGTCTGCTTAATTGGATCTGTCTGAAATAGCTAGTGTCTTCTAGACATACGTAGAAGAAGTGGCTAAAGAAACTCTAAAAAAAGCAATAAACTGTTGTGTATACATCCTTCAGAATGGAAATAAATAAGATTGCATGAAGGTTCAGTAAGGAGCTAGCTTTAATATAGCCTGCTATATTAGCACACTTGTTACCCAATTTGCTGTACAAATCAGGTTGCATGGGAGTCAGCATAACTGGGTTTGCAGTTTCCAGACTCATGGAGTGTGGTCCTTATTGAGACTCCTGAGAATCTGTTTCAGGTGGAGGATTTGAGGAGCTTGCTCTGACCTTATTCTGAGTTTAGCCTCATGTTTCACACGAATTTGTTACAAAGTTTGTGTCTCCCTAATGTGATGTTAGCATCCCAGAGCATGTTTGGGAGTCTCCCAAGTTTGAATTTGAAAAAAAACCTTCTACAATGTAGTTTTGAAATACATAATTCTGGAGAAGTGTTCTTATTTTTGTAACTAAAAATGTTCTTTTTCTCTATGTGTATAGTTGTATATATTACTTGCTATGGGCTCTTTCAAGTTGGAATTTCATGTTGTGTTAGTACAGGAATACTGTTCCTACTCATTGTGGATCACATTCAGAAGTACCCGTAAGAGTAAGTTTGAGGAATATTTTTCTATTCTGTGAATGAAATGCCCTGTATTCACATGAAGGCAAGCATGGGATCCTTCTAGCATGTTTTCACGCAGCCTGTGAAGTTTCCACGTGAACCTGTGTGGGAACTCTGCCGAGTCCTGTATGTGCCACTTTGTTATCGTTATGTAGCGGTAAAGCCCAGAACCCTTTGCTATGCTATGAAAATGCACATTTTTCCAGATCCAAGCACATGAGCCCTTGGAATGAGGAGCACCCCTTTACTGGTTCTCTTTAATAGCTTTACATGCAGATATGCATTGACCTATTCAAGAATGCAATAAAAACAGAAACAAACCCAACCACAAAACCCACACTCTAGATGTCTTTAGTGACTTACTGTAGCACTGCACCTGAGCTCATCATCCAGAAAAAAGGTAAACAAACTGGTTTTGAAGTGACAGGCCAGAGTAAAGTTGTCTAACACTCTTCATTTTACTGATGCATTGCGTGGAGGTCCAGAAGCCACATTAGAGAGCTGTAAGCCTTCATCAGAGCATTTGTTTGGTTGCCTAACATCTGTGGAATGTTAAGATAAGTTATTACACAGACCTGCTTTAGTTTAGATTAGTTTGGACCTCATCCCAGTGTATTCAATCAGGATATAATTCCTGCATGCTGCTAAATTGCTTGCTTCATGTATTTCTCTAAAACTGTTTTTCAGTATACAGTTTTGTCAGTGAAACTCTTCTGTCACCTCAAGTTTTGGTTGGTTTTTTTTTGTTTGCTTTTTTTTTTTCTTTTAAAGAAAAGCTTTTATCATTTTTCTTTTTGGACTGAACATATCTCAAAGCAAACACAGCATTTGTTAAGTCCTGAAGAGATTCCTAAACAGGGATGGTAGTGTAGCTTCTCTGTAAGTATAATGCAGATTTCATATATATGTGTAAGCTGTGGTGATTGATATATACTGTGTCCAAACTGAAGTGTTTAAAGACAGCTGTAAGAAAATGGTTTTGTATTTACATGTCTAATATTTCTTCTTTCTGTATTCTGTATTTTTCTGTGTCTATTTGTGAATTAGCTATTCCTATTTGTTTAGATCTCAGGATATTCTGCATAAAATGAATTATAATATCAAAGATGATTATATAAATTAATGGTAATTTCTTGAAATTTATTACATACTTTATACATATTTTAAATGATCAAATACATTAAATTGTAAATGAAGTCTGTTGCCATTTTTGCACGTTTGAACGTGCTTAGATACATACACAAGTAATTTAATTATAATATTTATATTTTACCCTAATATTCCTTATCCTTCCTTTAAGCAAACTCTAGTTGATTTATTTTTGTAATTAACACTTTTTTCAGCCTTCTCCATGAGCTGATAAAATAGAGGTAGTGACATTTTTCATTAATGGCTTTGGTTTGTAGCATTGAAATAGATTATATACACAGACACATGTGCACGCACACTTCTGCAGTCTAATGAGCAAGAATTGTGTCAGCATCTATAAAGGCATTTAAAAATGTGGGTTTTTTTTCCTTTTAGTCTCGCTGTTTTTTTTAATGCCTGTGATACTGACAGCAGATAGACCAAAAAATAGATTCTATTAGAACAGATAGTATGATAGCCTGAATCGCTGTTTTGTGAGGTAGACTGGATAAAGGAAATAAGACATTTTGGAATCAAGGCTTTTTTCTTGTTAAAGGAGTAGGATTTATTTTGTTGAAGTTACTGTTCCTATTATCCTACTGAGGATTATCTGTTTTTATCATAATACATGTTTGTGCCACTGTTGGAATAACTGTAGCTTTTGATTAAATTTTGGGTTGTTTTGTGGTTTTGTTTTTTTTTAATTAAAATTTTAGTAGGCATTTCATGATCCTTCTTAAATAGAAATATAACAGCTACCTTTTGATAAAGGTACAGTCCAGATACAGAGAAAAGTATTGGATGGCTTTTAAATGTGGCTTGGTCAAACAGTGAAAAAACAGTATTAGAAGTTCTGATGTAGTCTTCAGACCTAAACAGATAACTATTCTGGGCGTTTTAACTTAATTATGTTAAATATGTAAAATTATTATAATTTTTATCATGCTGTGTAAGCCATGCACTTCCACCCCAGGCCAGAGAATGAGAGAGCTTGGTAGCAGAGTTTTGTCCTGTTGCAGTTTTTTACCTGAAGGGACTGTTTTTTTTGTTCCTTTTAATTTAAAGTGTTTTATAATTTTGTGACTGTTGCATCATTCCTATGTTTTCACAAAATAATTTGAATGTATTTTTCGTTCCAACTTTTGTCATCCTTCTTGCCCTCTTTACAATTTTACCCATTCTTTAACTAAACATTTATTAAACAAATACTCTTTACCTTTTGCCATATTACCTGACAGCTTTGTTTCACCTCTCTTTCTATTTCTGACAAAATTCCTACCTCCTGTATATCCTTAATGCATTTTGCCTTTTTTGTTCTGTCTCAAAATTCCTTTTGTCTTTGTCTCAATTTTTTCTTTAATAGTCACTTTAGAATGCAGATTAACCTTTATTTTTTCCTCCTAATTTACTCCTGTACAGAAGACTGTCCTGTACTGTATATAGGCTGGAAGCATAGTCTCACTTTACTGTGTGTGCTATTGTTTATCTGTGTATCTGGAATATAAAAAATAATTAAAAAAATCCTAAGAAGAATCATTCATGTACACAGCTTCATTGTGATTGACAGAGACACGTTTAATTTTGATTTATTATTTACAGCTATAACTCAAACAGATCATAAAAGATAATTTCCAAGCAGCTGAAAATATGGTACTTCTGAGTTCTTTTTATTGGTGCATTTAGTGCTCTATTAGTAGGTTTCTTTAGGTCTTACCTTACATCTCTGGTAAGTAGTTGTTGTGGATGTAGCTAAAACCATGCACAGTAAATGCCGAATTTATTTGCAGCATAACGTTGAGTTATGTTATGTCAGAAACAATAATTAAAGGGACATACCATGTGAGTTTTCTGTGACAGCAGAGGTTGGGAGTTAGCAACCTCTAACTCCTAGCTCTGGGCTGGGAGTCTGAGTTGGCTCCCAGTCCAGGGAGACTGGGTATAAGTCCCATTTACTTGTCCTGACAGCAGACACCAGTGAAAATAAACCCAACCCACCCCGCAACTGCATCAACAAGCATTGGTCATGTTGTCAGTATTTACGCAGAAGAGAGCTAGGGCTGGGCTGAGGGGGGATTGCTAAAGGTAGGACTGACATACCTTGACAGCACATTTTGGAGAAGCTCACACAGCATGTGCCTGTAGGATGCTTGGCTCTCACCAGTGCAGTTAGTGCTTGGAGAAGCATGTTCTGGGTTCTGTCATGAGCACCATCCTCACCAGTTAAGAGGAGAGTGAGACATCATACCTGCTCTGTGATAGCATGCATTTGAGGGCTTGGGGGGTAGCTGCACTGACTGTTCTTGTTGTCTTCAACTAGGTTATGTGGGTATGCAATTTATGTCGAAAGCAACAAGAAATCCTAACGAAATCTGGAGCGTGGTTTTTTGGAAGTGGACCACAGCCTTCGCCCAGCCAGGACGGAACACTCAGTGATACAGCAACTGGCGGAAGCTCAGATGCACCGAGAGAGAAGAAAGCAAGACTTCAAGAGCGATCAAGATCACAGACTCCCTTAAGTACAGCAGCTGCCTCATCACAGGAAATCTCCTCTTCCAGTGTCCAGTCTGACCGTAGGAAAGGAGCAGAAGTATCACAGCCAGCTATGGGTGTGGACCAAAAGCAAGCTTCGTCAAGGTCTAGAAGTGAACCTCCAAGAGAGAGGTAATGCTTTCTGTCTTGACAGAGTCTCACAATTGTAAATGCTAATTCAGTAATATTATACAAGGCTGTCAGCTGAGCTAGCTGTGTGTGTCTAGAGCAATGTAAAAGCAAAGAGTAAGTTGATGTAATGGCTAAAGAAGGGTAAATATTTACTAGCAACTACCTTGTCTGATTTGGTCTGAGCAATAGAAAAGAGGAAAAAAAAAGTATTTTATGGATATTTTCCTGTACTTCAATGCATTTTGGTGTACACTTTTAATACAGAATTGTAGGTTACTTTAAAATATCTTCCAAATTTAAAATTTAAAAGTTAGTAAACAAAGTGGAGGGTTCTGGTGAAAGGTGTTCCTGCCCACGGCAGGGGGGGTTGGAACTAGGTGATCTTTAAGGTCCCTTCCAACCCAAACCACTATGATTCTGTGAATGCGCAAGCCTTTAACTTATTGAAATATGTACTAGAATTTAGATAAACAGTACTCCCCCAAAAACTCCTCAACAAACAAACAGGAAATCCATCCTGTGGAGTTCTGTTAGATATCCTTATGTGTTATCTTTTTATCAATGACAGTTCCTGGTTTATTATTAAAATTAATACAAGTAAAAGAGCTCATTTACACCTACAAAGTAAACATTCATGAAGAACAGCAATAGTACCATCTCGAATTCAGGGAAAGTTGTGTGCAAGAATTATGCCACCCAGAAGCAAACTAGTATATTTTAAGTGAGTTAAGTGAGTAAATTTCTGAGCTGTATTCACTGTGATGAATGGGTTGGAGATTAGCAAATCAGGAGAGGATAATGCGATGAAGCAGTTGCTGTTCTTTTGGCTGCTGCCTTACAGATGGCAGAGAAGTTGAGGGAGCCTGCAGCAGCAAAGCAAGAGCTTTCCGTAAAAGGTTCTCCCTTGGCCAGAATGGTTGATTTTTTTTCATAGCTATTAAAGTTGAAAATGCATGATGAACAGTGGTTAGTAATTTACTGTGTGGGTGAGGTCTGTCAGGGTTTAACTGCACCAAAACTCAGGTTAGTGTTATGTATATGCATGATGTAAATGAAAATGTGGTCCCTTTCCCTCATTCTGTTGACTTTTTTCCTCCCAACACTGGGAAGGCCCTCAGAGCAGTTGTCACTCCGCTGAAGGACACTTTTAGGGCATCAAAATGCTTTGTATTTCTGCTTTGCTGTCCATAAGTAAGGTGGTGATTTTAATTATACTATAATTAATTATAAGTTATATTCTCTGCTTGTCATTGAGACTTTCAAATGAAGTTGAAGGATTCTGGATGGAGAGTGTCTATGGTAAGGTCAGGTCCCATTTATTGCTAAAAATTCAGAAGGAACAGGAAGTGGAGGAAAAAGGAGACAGGATCTTAACTTGGGTTATATCCGACTTTCCCTGTCCTGTCGATGCATTTTAGTAAATCTGTGATAACATAATCTGAAGACGTTTCAGTTGTGGAAGGGAAGATTCAGTGCCACACACACACAAAAACCAAAAAGGTCCTAGTGACTTTGTTGCTCTGCATGTTCATCTCAAATACAACGTGTAGCTGAGTTCAGCCTTCTTCAAAATCGATGGATTCATATGTGAACTGGTAAACAAAAGTGCAACTAGAATCGTGAGAGAAATGAAAATACCCAGTATAAGAGGATTTTAAGATTCTTCAGCTTGCTTATTCTCCCAAAGCAGAAGATAAAAGAGGAGGGAGCATAATTTTCACACAGCTTTATTATTCATTTTTTTGTACTTTAACTGTATAAAGAAATAAATTACATTTTTCATCCTGTTTTACTACCAGAGAAAAGAATGCCATTAATTTATCTCAAGGAGTCAATTTGCTTTTCTTTATATGCTTACAAGGTGACAATTCTTTTTAGAGTTTAAATAAGATAAAGCGAACTAGGTGAAATATTACTGTTTATGCATATATTCTCTTTTTGCATTTTTTCATATCTATATTACTTTATGTAATATTATTGTGGGAGATGCTTCATTTGGTGGTGTTTGTATACTGTCAGGGTGCTTGAAGTGAATTTGGGCAGTTAGTCTGTAACCCTCATGACTGCTGCCAGAAAAATGGGGAATATATTCCAATACTCTGTCGTAGTGCTGTAGTTACTACAAAGAAGACTTTGAGTCTGCCTACTTAAGTGGGTTAATTCTTCTTATCTGCATTTATTTACGTTAATATTCTTTGTGATCTTACTCATTAATTGGACTATCCGTAACTTATGTTTTTGTGGATTCTGGAAGTTGTTAACTATTGCAAAATAAAAAGTACTGCTGGAAGGATTAATAGATTTAGTTCATCTTAGTGGATCCAGCCAGTGCCTTTCTATGTATTTTGCCATATTTTATGCTGGTTTATGATCTATTTACAGTAACAGTGTACACAAATATTTTTATTTTGCATTCAGTTCTTCTAATTATTGTACTGCTTTTCACTGCAGGAAGAAGACAATATCTGTTTCGGACCAGAATGGCAAAGTTATAAAGAGTGAGCGTAAGCGTGTGCCAAAATCCTCACTGCAGAAGGAAGGACCAGCAGATGACAGGGAGCGTAAAGAGCGGCATGAAGGTAGAAGGCTGGAGAAAGGCAAGTCACAGGACTTGCCAGAGAAACTTGAGGAAGGCAAAGTGCCTGATGATGAAACACAAACGAAGGAAGATGAGTATCATACCCGTTACAGGAGTGACCCCAATCTGGCAAGATACCCTGTAAAACCTCATCCTGAGGAACAGCAGATGCGCATGCATGCAAAAGTTTCTAAAGCACGGCACGAGAGAAGACACAGTGATGTAGCTTTGGCACATACAGAAATGGAGGAAGCGGAGGTACCTGAGAATAAATTAGGAAAACGCTCACAATTACAGGGAACTCAGGACAGAAAATCTCTTGTGGAAACTCAGAGGTCGTACTCTATAGACAGAACAGGTGATGTAAGAATTTCTGTTTCTAAACAATTAACTAATCATAGCCCACCAACTCCCAGGCATAGTCCAGTTCCTATAGAACACGTAGAATACAAGAACCACGATTCTTTTAAAAAACAGAGCCGCCTTGATCCTAGCTCTGCTATTCTCATGCGAAAAGCAAAGCGGGAGAAAATGGAGACCATGCTAAGGAATGATTCCCTTAGCTCTGACCAGTCGGAATCAGTGCGGCCATCCCCTCCAAAGCCTCATAGAGCAAAAAGAGGCGGAAAGAAAAGGCAGATGTCAGTTAGTAGCTCAGAGGAAGAAGGGGCATCAACACCAGAATATACTAGCTGTGAAGATGTGGAGATAGAAAGTGAAAGTGTCAGTGAAAAAGGTAAGGACCTTTATGTATATTATGCACATGGCCATGGTTTGGGGAAAAAAAAAAAAATCTGTATTTTTCTCTCTCTCTTGCGTCTTTAAAAACATACACTTTTGCTCTTTCCCCTTACCTTTCTTTTCCCAACTGAGAAGTGTCTTATAGATGTTTACATTTGGTTTGCAATGTTTCCTTTTACATTCTTAGATGAGGTGGTTACAGGTAGCATCAGCTGAAGAGTTTCTTTCTCATTCTCTTCCCTCTTTCACCTAGAATTGACAGAATTAAAGGCTTGTAGTTTATTCTCTCACTGATATTGGTGCTCCTTTAGTCACTGCTTCATCCTTTTGTCTGTATGCCCAATAATTTTCTGTGTATGAGTTGAAATGGCAAGTAAGTTCTGTAACAATGTGAGGAGACCATTATAAAGCATCATAATCTTACTGACACCTTAGTCTTAAAATATGCAAAATTTTACTACATTTAATAATAATATCAAGGATCTGCCAGAGTTCCTTGCTAACAAGGACAGGATATGGGGCAAGGGGAGTGTTATATAGGAAAGAAATGAGAATTGCCTAATGTGGTGTCTAGATGAATTGGCTCCCAAGCTTACAAGTATGTTTAAAGTCTGTTATTTCAGTTTGTCTTCATCTGTTGATGGTAACACTTAGCAGTAAGGAATAAGTATAGCACACTGTGTGCTTTGAAACAAAGCCTTTCTTCTGGGTGAAGAAGTTAATCAAATTCATGAATGGTGAACAGATAAAATAAGCATCATCTGAAAAGACTGTTGTAAAGCCTACCAACTGTCTTATAGCCCTAATTTATCTTTAAGTGACATTACAGTGAGCTGAAGGCTTTTTGTGTCTTTGAAAGTAGCTTTTAGCTCTTTAGTTTAATTATCTGTGTTTGTAACTTGAAAGTTTTCTACTGGTGTTCATACTCAAAATGCCAATGGTTTGTCTGCCTTGCCTTTTAGTTCCTGGCACTGTTTCCTGACGTCTTTGATTCATATATGCTAACCTGTCTGTCTTTATCTGATGTGGTCTCCTGACATCCCCTAAAGCTCTAGGTATATATAGAAAAAGAGACAGCATTTCTCTCCTATCCCATCTGAATAGCTGCTTGTTTTAACTTTCTGAGCATGAACTTGTCCATTCGAAATATGTAAGCTTGTTTTCTGCTCATTTTTAAGGAGGGATGGTAATAATGACCCTGAAATCTTCATCCAGATTGTACTTAGACATAAATATCCGTGCTTTTTTTGACTGTCAAACATTGGAACATATCACACAGAGATGTTGTACAGTCTTCATCCTTGGAGATGCTCAAAACCTCATCAACTGTGGAGACGCTTGGGGGAACGCCCTGAGAAATCTGCTCTAGCTGACTCTGCTTTTGAGGAAGAGCTAGTACATCCATCACCTGCTATTTGCTGTAACCATTTAATACATATTTTGCCAGAATTATTAACAAAATAATTCCAAAACACTGGAGATACTTTCTTTCTAACAAATAAATATCTTCCGTAGTCTACTGAGATTTGCCTCTTTGGTGGAGAACCTAAAGATTTATGTTGAGTTGTTTTCATGCTGGCTTAAATCTAGAGAAAGAACTGTTTAGTGATGTCCAAAAAGGTCCTCTCAAATTTCTTAAAAAAAAAAACAAAAAAGCCCAAACAATCTATACCCTTCACAGGTTACTGTTACCGATTGCTGATCACAGTTTTAATCCTATTATTAATATAGGCTGTAGGATTCCTTATTCTGAAATGCATTATAGTTGAACATTAAATGGGCTGAGTTTTCCAGTGGCAACACTCTCTTGGCAAGGGAACATGAGTCCTCTTAGAAGGCATAAATTGCATTCATACTTGCTTCAAAGACTTGGTAGAACAACATAAACCAGCCTATTACAAATGAAATCCAGACCTCATTTTAAATCTGAGAACAGCTTCTGCCTACTGCCATTCAATGAAGAATGAAAATCAGGTTTGGAGAAAGTTTGAGGAAAACAGATATTTTCTTTCAAGTTTAAAACCAAGACTTTGTGTAGAACTAGTAGATTTGTGTTCGGACAAGGTTGTACTTAGCTTCTTTTATCCCATTATAGGTATGAGAGGTATTCTAGGCTTCTATCATGCCATCTTTGAAAGGGGAAGATAAAATAGTGTTGAAAATTGGGACAGTATGAGGAAGTACTGAAAGCTGCTCATGTGCTTTTTTTTGTAAATAGATGTGGTGAAGGTTTTACATTCTGCATACTCATTGGTCATATTTCGCCAAATGTTCATTTTGTTCACACCATTTAAGCTTGAAAATATGCCTAGTACTTGTATATTGTCAGCAAAATGGTAAAAAGCTCAGTAAAAATCACTTTTGCATACTCACTAATGGATTCAGTTGGGAGTCAGAAGAGCGTGATAGAGTTGGAACCGTTTGAAATAAACCTCCTGAGCTGACATTCCAGATCCTTTCAGTGAAGATGTGATTGTTTCATTTTTAATTCCTTTCTTATGGTACTGGGAGGAACAGGGCAATCCAATTTCACTTCACTCTGATGACATTACCCTTCTGGTTAGAAAGTGTTATGGTCAGGGATCTTGTTGGGATCTTAGTGTATGCACAGGTGTGAGACAGAGGGGTTGTAACCAGAAGGAGAGAACCTGGAAGTCCGAAGGAAAAAGCGATGCTGTGGTTTGCAGACAAATGTGTTGGTGCTGGCTCAGCTCCAGGAGGAGAGGATCTGACCCCTTACTCCATCCTCCTCTGGTGTTTTGAGCACCACTTTGGGTGCTGGTGCTTGGGGGACTGTGTGTGTAAAAGGGGAGGGAAGAGCATAAATTAAATCTCTGCCCCAGTGATTTCTTCCAAGTGCTGTAGCATTGTTGGTAAAGAAGGTAGCTTGTGGGCTGAGAGAGAAACCACACGTGTGCAATAGGGTGTATAAATGGACCAAAGGAAAACATCCAGAAAAGTCTATAGAGAAAAGGAAGCTGGTTTTAAATGTTTTTAGCTAAAGTTTTTCACGGAGGTATTTCAAATCTAGCATGTAGGCAAGTCAAGTTGTACTGTAACATCTGCTAGCATATTTTAACATCTGTTCTCATGAAGAGTTGGGCATGGAGTTTTCAGAAGAGCTGAATTTGTTTAAAATGTGGCTGAGCTTTAACAGTGTAAAACAAAATACCCTTGCTAGGAAGATTGTTAATTCTTAGAAATTAGTTCCAGTTTATCTTCTAGTCTTTGTGCCATAATTTAGATCTACATCGGATTCAGATTTTAATGAAAGTATAATCTAAAATGGCTCTAGCTTCAGAATTTTGGTCAGTGCTTACATTATTCAGTGCTATCAATATTCAGTGCTTTTGAGTAGATGAAATTATTTGCAGCCCTTACGGAGCTGTAAATAAGTGCTTGTTAAATTAGCTAAGGCAGTAAGAAATCTGTTTTGTGTATATGGAATTATGCAGAGTACATACATGCATATGCAAATGAAATAAGCTGAGCATTAGTGGGAAAAAAGTTATACTGTTGCCAAGAAGTGCAACACTTCACTGAGATCCATAACCATATAAATAGGGATGTCATAGCAGAGCCCTTTCTCTAGTTGTGAACATGCTGGAGGGAGTTTGCAGTCTTTGGTGAGATTGACCAAGGTCTATAAAATATGATATATGTGGAAAGGTGAGATGGATTGGTGTTCAATAGCCTAGAAAAGAAAGAGAGAAAAAACAAGAACAACAACAAAAAAGGCAGGGAGAGGAACTGAGGTTTAAATGAGAAAGAAGAAGCTGGAGGGGGAAAGAGTTTGAGTGCTTCTTTCTAAGCCTGAGGGTTAAGTTACTGTTAGGGAGGTTGAAGCTTGCTGACAGAAAGCATGTCAATTCTAAGGACAGAAAAGGAAAGTTAAGAATAATCATGATCATAATTTCTTAGTTGAAATTGAGGATTTCTGGAAATAAAAATTGATTTCTTCATAGCCTTAACTGGAGTTGCTCTAAGATAAAAATACTGTTGTTCCTGTGGCAGGCTCTGGGCCAAGGTGCAGAAATCTGGGGCTAAATCCACAGTACTTCAGATTGTAGCTTATCCTTTTTTGACACCTTTCTTTTCCCGTTTTCTTGCCTTGCATTTAAATTGCAAATTCAGTGGGGTTTCATTTTGTCCTTGTGCAGTGAGATTGGTGAGATTTCAGTCCATGACTGATACTCCAACTTGCCTTTATGATAATAAAATTGTATGCTTATTTATGCAAGGACATATTATTGGGTACCTTTTTCTTCCATTTATCAGTATACAGTAGAATTCCAGATTACTTTCAAGTGTCCTCTGGCAAGCTTGCATTCTCTTGTGGCTAACCGTGCATTACTACCACACGGGATTCAATTGAGCCTAGGTTCCTGTTCTCTCTACCTATTAATTTGCTGTTAATCAGCTAAATTGCCCATATGTTTGCCTGCTTGCTTTTCCTATCAGGTAACAAATTGATTCGTGCATGTTTACTGCCACCCTCTTAGAGACATTGTGAAACTATTTCTTTCATCTAAAAAGACCAGATGTCCACACCTCACAGCCTTTTTCAGCCACTGGATTGTTTACTTATTTTTCATTAGTTACTGCCACCATCTCAAACTGAAGACACATAAGGACAAGGCAGAGTTTTATACTGTTATTTTCAGTTTGAGAGATGTTTTTGTATTTTCTGGATAAGTTCGCTGTGAGAAAAAGTCTGCAAGCAGGATATACAAAGCGCAATATGTAAAAGTGATTATTTATTGGTAGGTAGGTGCATGTAGTAAACGGTTAGAATTTTCATGCTGCTAGCCTAACTTTTAATAAGGTCACTGCCTCCCACTGCAGACACCCAACTGCTCTAAATGTTAACAGTCGTATTAACTACTTTTTGAGATGCCCAACACTTGAAGTCTCTGCATTTGTACATGTTTGGCTTCTTAAAATATCTCTCTCTCTCATGCATGAGTTCCTCAGCACGTTCCCTTGACTGACTGC